AAAGGTCAACTTGAAATTTGACCTCAGGTCAAGGTCATGACCTGACCGGAAAGGGTCATGTTGCATATCAGTCGATCCGTATCGTCGAGCTGAACACATGTAAGGCATTTTCATCGCTCTAGCATGCCTCTAACAAAAGTTATTTGCGAAAAACTGTTATATACTATTCGTGACCTAAGATGACCTCAGGGCATAAACAGGGGTCCCAGCAGGGCGCGGGTTAATGTTTGCTGGCAGCTCAAAGGGGAAGCGGAAAATATCTTTTGGTTTTGGGTGTTTGCTCAAAGCAGGAGGTAACTATTTGTAATTTCCCCCAATTGGCTTTTAACGGAGAGGTCACAAACCTGGACCTGACTCCAGTCAAAAAAAAAAAAAAAAATCGAAATATTCCCATTGCTGGCGTTGAAAACCCCATCCAATTAACCGACTTCCGCAGTCCTGAAGGATAAACTGTGGGAACACACACACACGCACGCACGCACGCACGCACGCACGCACGCACCCCCCCCCACACACTCTCTCTCTCTCTCTCCTCTCTCCTCTCTCTCTCTCTCTCTCTCTCTCTCTCTCTCTCTCTCTCTCTCTCTCTCTCTCTCTCTCTCTCTCTCTCTCTCTTTCTCGGCTTTATAAAGGCATGGTCACTTCACTTTATCTGGTGACCTGACGTTCGCCCGCGCCCCGCTGGGCCATTCACCCATACGCGCCCTGCTGGGGGGGGGGGGGGGGCAGATTCTGCCCCCCTTAACTTCCGAACCGATGGTCGTAGAAAGACGGGGAAAACGGTTATCGAAAGCTCTCAACAAGGCAGATCTTAACCCTCGCCCGCACATGGGGGGGGGGGGTTGCCACCCCCGCAGGTAGTCTTTCTGCTCTGCACTCAACTTTTTTAGAGCTAGAAGGCTGATTTTTCGTATAGCTGTTCCTCTATCCTTTCTTGACGTCCACTGAAAATTTCAAGTTTCTGTGATTTTTGGTTACGGAGATATGACCTTGTTTTTCAGGTCATGTCATGACCCAAATGGCCAATTCTCAACATCTTGCGTTGGCTATGGGCCTTTTGAGCTTTTGACACCTTGATTTCGGCCTTTTTTGCCAGTCTTACCTCCCACCTATCATGGAACATGTTGTTCGACGATGTACAGATGTCAAGGTCAGAGTCAAGGTCAACCTAGGTCATCTAAAATAATTGCGTTTTAGGCAAGCTGAATTTACTTTTTGTGATGTTTTTTGACTGCATTTTTCGTAAAAGCTTCTCAGATCATGATTTCATGTAATATGGCCGCATAAACAATCGGTGCACACTTCAGTATACACACAGACACACACAGACATACAAACACATATCATTGACCTTGACCTAACTTGACCTGAAATGAAATCTAGCTGGCTTGGCACCAGAAAACGGCATCGTCATCGGTATATGATAAGCAGCGCACTTGATATCCAACGGTGACCCAAAACAGCATCATTTTTAGTTTGACCTGACCTGGAAGGTCAATGACTGACCTGAGAAGGTAAAACGGGGTATCATTGGATTCGTCTCTTCCCAAAGAATCTTTTTGGTCTTTACCGGGCTAAGCTCTGGGGCATTCCACGATAGATCGTACCAGGCCCGTCACCCTCATCTCTCAGATTTTAATGAAAATCGGTCCTAGGGGTAATCATAGGCCCCAAAGACGCCTGGCAAAATATCAGACTTCTCAGATCAAAACTTTTTGAGTTATATTGCATTACATTTTTTTAACTTCGGTATGTAACGGTGAGTTTGATGGCCTATAACTCAAGAACGGGTTAAGCAACCAACAAAAAGTAAACAACACTAAGCTTGCGATGAATCAAAAATTGATATCACTATTCAAAAATTCCAAAGGAAAAATTTCATTGTTGAGCAAAAACCTTAATCTTTTTTCATTTGCCTCTAATGACTTTTGGGACCAAAATTTTTCACATTTTTATTTTTTCAAAATAATCTTCATGTCATTGCAAATCGACATGCAAAAAATTAGAAAGGTGTTCTTTCTATAAGTTCCTCATTTTCCCGCAAACAAAATGGGTTTCGGAGGGGTTGATACGACCCCAGCACGCCGTTTCGCTTTTAATAGAGCTAGAGCCTCGCGGAAAAAACGAGCGTGTATGCCGTTACAAGTCGCAGCGATTGGTACCCGATTTTAAGGTCTCAGGTTAACCGGTAGCGTCTGAGGTCAGGTCACGTGACTGAAGTTACGGGTTCGGTTTTTAGAACATATATGGTTGATGGCTGTGATGAGCATTGTTAGTATTATAGTTTTAGTGATGATGAAATAGCCTTTGCTCATAGTTAATCATGAGCAAAGGCTATTTACGGTTAGATAGATATACGGCGTTACGGTTAGATAGATATACAGTCAAAATGGCTGAAGTTATTTTTGATAAATAACTTCACAAAAAAATGGCCGCAGAGCCGCGATTTTGGCATCATTGTGTTCGCCTAGCTCAGGTGCATCGAATGGTATACTTTTTGCTAGGGTGAGGTCAACTTAAGTAGTTGACCTCGGGTCAAGGTCAGGTCAGAGCCCCTCAGGTCACGAAGCTGGGCAAAGGGTATCATATGGCATATCATTTGATTCGGAAGGTCTTCCCGAGTCCATTGGTGGCTTTCCCGACTCTCTAGCTCGATTTGATCGGGAGTTAATGACGAAAAACTCGTACGACCCTAGTGACGTCATAAATGACGTCACGCAAGGTTAACAATGCAAAAGTAAAGCATTGGACTTTGCAAGGAGTGCATGAAATCACGATACCATGTACGTGGGATAGTTTTAGATCATTCTCGGCGCCAAAATAACAGTTTTTATATTTCCCCATTGATTTATAACAGTGATGCCACGTGACCGACCTGACCTCATGTAACCTTGAAAAATTCCCAGATATACAAGTTGTGAGACCTCTGGAGGACACCATGTATGCGTCCTGTAACTTTCATCTCGGACAGCTATGGTCATTGGCGTCCAAAACAATGTCAGAACCAAACAGCCTTTTTCACCGTCGCGCTTGTAGGAAAGGGGGTTGAATGAACCCTCTTTTCACTTTTTTTTTCAGATGACTCAGACTTGAATTGAAATTGAATTGAAATTTCAGTAACCCGTGATGTCACTAGGCAGCTTTACCACGCCATTTTTAAGCTCCCCTCCCGAAATCACTATTCGAAACCGTTATCGTGACGTAAAATAAATACATTTATAGAAAGAACACCTTCCTAATTTTTTGCATACTTCTTAACAATGAGCCAAATATTTTTTTTAAAGAAATAAAAATTCAAAAAAATTTGGTCCCAAAGTCCAAAAAATACAAATGAAAGAAAACTCGATATGTCATATATAAAAAATAGCGTATTTTTCGAAATTTCAAAAATACATATTAATCTCTGTTTCATTGCAAGTTCAATGTTATATAACATTTGGCATTTGAATAAACCGTCTTAGAGTTACAGCCCGCCAAACTTAGCGCTGCAAAGCAAGATCCAAAAAATGTTATACACCATAACTCAAAAAATACTTATCTGATAAGCCTGAAATTGTTACAGGTGGATTCAGAGCCCCTGATTACCCCTGAGACCAATTCTCGTCAAATTCCGAGAGATGAGGGTGTCAAATTGGAAAAAAGTGGTACGATCTATCGTGGAATGCCCCCTCTATCTCCAACAGGAACGAAATGGCGCGGGGGGGGGGGGTAGCACCCCCCATGTGCGTTCTAGGATGGGAAAATGACATGTGCGGGCTAGGGTTAAGAGCCCAATTTTTTTTTGCTTTAGTAGGTCAGAGGTCAAGTCAAGGTCAGGTCACGGGTACAAAATCAGTACAAGGTCAGGTCACAAGTTTCTACATTATCAGCCTTGCACCGTAGTTGCCGAAGAATGGAGTGAGACTGATGGCCCAAAACGTGTTCTTAGGCTACCAAGACAATATTCGTTGCATACAATATCATCCGAAGGTCAAGGTCAAGGTCAAGGTCAGGTGAAGGTCAGGTGACCAAAAACAAAATATAGAAAAGGGCATGTGCGACAGATTTTTATGGGTCATTTTATTCATAGAATTCAATAAGCACACTCAATAAGTGATATGGACCACATCTGGATGAATTTTAGGTCGAGGTCAGGTCAAGGTCAGGTCAAGTGAGGTCAAATTTTGAAGTTGGTTGTCAAGGCCTAAAAAGGCGTCTATCTGATGCAGTTTGTCACGGCGAATCGAATAGAGCTATTTTTGTTTCCGTACGAGGTCTAGAACTTCCGAAAAATTCATTTTTCAAAAATTTTGTGTGTCGTGACGCCATACAATTTTGAATAACTCCCACATTTTTGAATCGATTCTTCTAAAAATTGGTATGTAGATGCACATAGACCACTTGTCTGACATACATTCCGGTTTTTTCGATACACTCAAAATTTTGGATTTTATAATTATTTTCCCAAAAAAATCAGTTTTTTGAGAAAAAAATTGGGCCAAAATCCAAAGTTTTCAAAAAACCGAGATAGCCATTTGATAGACAAAGGTTAAATCACGTATACCCTTTTTTGTTACGTCTTGCTTCCTTTAAAAACGAAGATGTTAGCAGCGTTTTAAATTTTGCCGTTTTCGAGGCGAAAATGACGTCACTAAAACGTCATTTTCTAAAAAAAAAAAATCCGACGGAATTCGCTCAAATTTTCAGGGAACGTGTCAAATTGATGTATTATAAGGTACTGAAAGTTTGACGTCGCTGGCGTAACGCGTTTAGAAGTTATTGGCGAAAAACGGGAGGGGGGCAGAATCTGCCCCCCTCTCTACCCCCCCTCCAGCGGGGCGCGGGTTAGGCGACATGCAAAATTGTGCATGAAGTTCTGTCAAGTTCACACGCAGAAAACTAAAGTGTGGCCAGAAACGCCCGCTCCTCACAAAGGCGAAGCCTAGTCCATGCAAATGAATGCTCCCCGCTCCGCCGTTGGAGAGGTAGCGACTGAGCGGCCGCGGCGCGTGGCGTCCCACCTGTTCGGCCGAAACGGCGGTCACGGCCGTGTGCGGCGGCGACGGAGCCGCCGACACGGGCTCAGCGCCGGCCCGCAGCGGGGTCGGCGACGGCGCCGCCCTCTGGTGGCGCGCGGCGGCGCCGTGTCGCAGCGGCGGCGGCGCCAGAGTCAGCACTGTAACCAGAGTCAGCACACTGTGACACCAGCCGGCAGCACACTGTGACACCAGCCGGCAACTGGAGTCAGCACACTGTGACACCAGCCGGCAACCAGAGTCAGCACACTGTGACACCAGCCGGCAGCCGTCAGCACACTGTGACACCAGCCGGCAGCACACTGTGACACCAGCCGGCAACCGGAGTCAGCACACTGTGACACCAGCCGGCAACCGGAGTCAGCACACTGCGACACCAGCCGGCAGCACACTGTGACACCAGCCGTCAGCCGTCAGCACACTGTGACACTGTGACACCAGCCGGCAACCGGAGTCAGCACACTGTGACACTGTGACACCAGCCGGCAGCCGTCAGCACACTGTGACACCAGCCGGCAGCCGTCAGCACACTGTGACACCAGCCGGCAACCAGTCAGCACACTGTGACACCAGCCGGCAGCCGTCAGCACACTGTGACACCAGCCGGCAGCCGTCAGCACACTGTGACACCAGCCGGCAGCACACTGTGACACCAGCCGGCAGCCGTCAGCACACTGTGACACCAGCCGGCAGCCGTCAGCACACTGTGACACCAGCCGGCAACCAGTCAGCACACTGTGACACCAGCCGGCAACCAGTCAGCACACTGTGACACCAGCCGGCAGCCGTCAGCACACTGTGACACCAGCCGGCAGCACACTGTGACACCAGCCGGCAGCCGTCAGCACACTGCGACACCAGCCGGCAGCCGTCAGCACACTGCGACACCAGCCGGCAGCCAGAGTCAGCACACTGTGACACCAGCCGGCAGCACACTGTGACACCAGCCGGCAGCCGTCAGCACACTGTGACACCAGCCGGCAGCCGTCAGCACACTGTGACACCAGCCGGCAACCAGTCAGCACACTGTGACACCAGCCGGCAGCCGTCAGCACACTGTGACACCAGCCGGCAGCCGTCAGCACACTGCGACACCAGCCGGCAGCCGTCAGCACACTGCGATTCAGCGCTGACCAGGGCCGGGCTCTCCGACCAAGGGTGGGACAGTGAAACAGCGTGAAAGTAGACTGGCTACCACCGAAATGGAGCCACAAGCCCGGCTGGCGGCGCTCACCGTGTTCCTTGTTGAGGGCGGCCGGCGGCTGTCTGGACGGCTTGAGGGCGCGATAGACGGCCGGCGGCGCCGATCCGGGCGTGCTGCACGGGGTGCCGGCCGCCGGCGCCGGCTCTCCGCCGGCCGCCGACTCACTCGACTGGCGGCGCGCAGAAGGGTGGACCGGTCAGCTCACTGGATACGGTACGGCTCCAGCACTACCGCTGCTCGACTCCCTGTGCCTAGTGAACCCCGGTGATACATTTTCTGTACGACAAACTCGAGCGGCGCCGGCCGAAGCTAATTGCGGATTTTCAGCGGCGCCCGGCGTTGCAGTCTTCACGCTTAATACAATGCTCGGTGACATTCACCAGCCGCGGGACGAATCGTCGTGTTCGGCGACTGAATATCGATCTCGATCAAGGTATCTTGTTTCTACGCATCCTGAATCCTACCGACGGTGATTTCTATGAGTGGAGTGGTTCATAGACTCTATTGAATCACTGACCACTGCTAATAGAGACCAGCTTGGTTGCAGAGGGAGCATCAAGATTCTTCAAGATAAGGTTGGGGCCGTCTAGTGGGTTGTCAGCTGAGCTTTTTCCATCCCTGCTGACGATTTAATAAACCTTGATTAATGCTTGAAAGAATTTTGTACCTGGATCGCGACGAAACTTTCAGTACCCTCGCGTCAATCAATTTTACACCTACCCTGAAATTTTGATGACCCTGACCTTAATGACCTTTGACCTGTGACCTACTTTTCGAGACCATGTTTAGCCGGAATCGCGATTCGGCGTATGTCGGCTCGCATTAGCCGCGCGTTTGCAGTCTTTTCGTGGTTTCAAGCGTTCAAACATGGGATATGATGTTGCTCCCATGCATTAGGGTGGGTGTCAAGGTCACCGTAAGGTCAGGTCAGGTCATTGACCTTTGATGACCTCGGTTCACTTTTTTCGAGTTTTACATGTTTCTAGGCCAGTTTTTGGAGCTGGATTCGAATTTAGCAACCATATGAACATTTACGAAGTAGTTTTGGTGCCTTCGTAACATGTTACGAAGCTGTCAGAGGCGGTTGCCACCTACTACGAATACCCTTACTGGTTGACCTGACCTGACCCGACCTGGCCTAAATGCATGAAGACATCATCTGTGATCAAAACTAACATGATATTCGTGATCAGCACCCCGAAAAACCCCAGAGCAGCCACGCTTTACGGCTTTCTAACAGGTCCCGATTTTCCTGACTTTTGGGTCATTGACCTGACCTGGAAGGTCAACCGATGACCTAGGACCTTAAAATTGGTTATCATCGGCTTCCTCTCGTGACGGGCAACACGCTCGTTTTTTCCGCGAAGCTCTAGCTCGATCAGGGGCGAAACGGCAAGGGGGGGGGGGTTCCAACTTCCAACGGACCCCCCCCCCCCCTTATACGTTCGCGGCTGGAAAAAACACCAATACGGGCGAGGGTTAAATGTCTTAGCTTTGCGACTGTCAACACATTCTAAACTATTCAACACATTCTGTGAATGATTTAGTCATTCTTACGCGAAAACAAGCTTAAAGGTATTCGGAATATTGGGGGTACTGTACCCCCCGGTAAATTATTGGGGGGGAGGGGGTCCGGACCCCGCGTACCCACATGTGGCGGAGCCCCTGGGATACCAGCGAAGAAAGTTCATTGTTCTGCCATATTTACAACATGCTTTAACTTATATTTTCTTATACAGGTTTTACTCCGTCCTGCTGCGCTCAATGCCCACACAGGGGAAGTTAGTGGGGTTTCACTGTCAGAGGCTGTACCAGTGACAGCTGTTCAGCCCTGCGACCGGTCAAAAGCTTGCCCCGCCCCGCCGGGCGCTACCCCCACTCCAGCCCAGCTGAGGCCGGACAGCTCAGCGCGGCCAACTTTCCTGAGTTGAGCAAAGTAGACATAAACAAATGCAAATCCATACATGATGTGAAAATGACAGAGCAATAAAACTTCCTCTGAGGTATCCTGAACAGCTTAGGTACCGCTTCGAATCGTTAAGCTAACAAATATGACGTCCGTTTAGTAGGGCGACAGCCGAACGTCCCTGCCGTGGTCTGTCAGACAGCCGAGAGCGCCGGGTCTGCGTGTCGATAAGGCTTATTTTACGCTTGTTAGTGGCTTAGTTTGATCCATCGTGACACTGAATTGTGTGATTGCGTCTTTTGCCGGCTGTGAGAGACGCATATTAATATTTGAGAGTATTTTTTTTCGCTACATATTGTTCGTTTGGTATTCGGCTTTCACTGGAAAACGAAAAAATATGCCTATGATTTCAAGAATGTCCTGGACAGCTCGTTGAATAAAAAATTATTACGTTTTTACAAAAAAAAAAACGCCAATTCTGAAAAAGGTCATCGAACGATTTTAATAAAAATTACATTTTTGGAATAAGCTCACCGTCAGCTTTCGAATGGTTACGGAGCGAGCGAAGCGAACGAAGTCTTTCGTAAATTAACGGAAATTTTTTTAGTATGAGCGGCCGGCCGGCCGTGCGGACGCTTTTGCGAGGCACCCACTTGACCGATTTACTTGCGGTAATTTTTGTAGGGTAGCCTCATTTCTTCTGCCAAGTACTGGACTATTCCCGATACATGTGGGTGTCCCCTTATGCACCTGCAACGTGCAAAACGAAAAGGTGTCAGTTTTGTAACAATTGCAATATCTCGGTAACTACTAAGCCGATTGCGCTGAAACTTGTAGGTAGGCACCCACTAGGCAATGCATTTGCACGTGCCACTGTTGGGGTGCCACTGGCGGATCCAGGGGGGGCCACCGGGGCCATGGCCCCCCCCAAAAGCCTGAAAGGGGGGGCCAACATATCTTTTGGCCCCCCCCAAAACGCTTGAAGAAAAATTAATGAGAGATGGTTGCGTAGTAGATACCTACTAGAATCAGCAGCGTGATTCAATAGCGTAGAGAAAGTCATGTTGATCAAGACAGCCCATATTCAGCCCAGATTCAGCCCGGATTCAGCCCAGATTCGGGACACCTCTGATCAAGCTGAAACTCGCACACAATGTAGGCCATGACATGCCCAATCCACAGTTAAAGTCATTCGGTGGCACTCCCAGCCGTTTGACCTACAGAGGTCAGCAAAGGTCACGTGGCCCAAATTTGCACAGCAGATTGTGGCCCACCCAGTAGAGCTAGGGCGCTAAAAATGGCACCAATCGACTCGCCAGCATCTAATCTTACTTTCCCAACACTCATTTGACCTCTCAAGGTCATGCGATGACCTAAGGTCATTTGTGGGCTATGTCGAAAATACATTTGCACAGCAGTTTTCGAGTAGATGGATTGACCGAATTCCAAATCAAAGCACATCATCGGGTAGCCCATAGGCTGTAGTAACTTTCCTTAAAAACCGCTTTTCGATATGTGACCCCGTTTGACCTCGGCAGGTCAAAATGTGCAAATAAACGACACTCAATACGTCGCAGCCCGGATTCAGCCCAGATTCGGGACACCTCCGATCAAGCTGAAACTCGCACACAATGTAGGCCATGACATGCCCAATTAACAGTTAAAGTCATTCGGTGGCACTCCCAGCCGTTTGACCTACAGAGGTCAGCAAAGGTCACGTGGTCCAAATTTGCACAGCAGATTGTGGCCCACCCAGTAGAGCTAGAGCGCTAAAAATGGCCCCAATCGACTCGCCAGCATCTAATCTTACTTTCCCAACACTCATTTGACCTCTCAAGGTCATGCGATGACCTAAGGTCATTTGTGGGCTATGTCGAAAATACACTTGCACAGCAGTTTTCGAGTAGATGGATTGACCGAATTCCAAATCAAAGCACATCATCGGGTAGCCCATAGGCCGTAGTAACTTTCCTTAAAAACCGCTTTTCGATATGTCACCCCGTTTGACCTCGGCCGGTCAAAATGTGCAAATAAACGACACTCAATACGTCCCAGCCCGGATTCAGCCCAGATTCGGGACACCTCCGGTCAAGCTGAAACTCGCACACAATGTAGGCCATGACATGCTTAATCCACAGTTAAAGTCTTTCGGTGGCACTCCCAGCCGTTTGACCTACAGAGGTCAGCAAAGGTCACGTGGCCCAAATTTGCACAGCAGATTGTGGCCCACACAGTAGAGCTAGAGCGCTAAAAATGGCACCAATCGACTCGCCAGCATCTAATCTTACTTTCCCAACACTCATTTGACCTCTCAAGGTCATGCGATGACCTAAGGTCATTTGTGGGCTATGTCGAAAATACACTTGCACAGCAGTTTTCGAGTAGATGGATTGACCGAATTCCAAATCAAAGCACATCATCTGGTAGCCCATAAGCCGTAGTAACTTTCCTTAAAAACCGCTTTTCGATATGTGACCCCGTTTGACCTCGGCAGGTCAAAATGTGCAAATAAACGACACTCAATACGTCGCAGCCCGGATTCAGCCCAGATTCGGGACACCTCCGATCAAGCTGAAACTCACACACAATGTAGGCCATGACATGCCCAATCCACAGTTAAAGTCATTCAGTGGCTCTCCCAGCCGTTTGACCTACAGAGGTCAGCAAAGGTCACGTGGCCCAAATTTGCACAGCAGATTGTGGCCCACCCAGTAGAGCTATAGCGCTAAAAATGGCCCCAATCGACTTGCCAGCATCTAATCTTACTTTCCCAACAATCAGTTGACCTCTCAAGGTCATGCGATGACCTAAGGTCATTTGTGGGCTATGTCGAAAATACACTTGCACAGCAGTTTTCGAGTAGATGGATTGACCGAATTCCAAATCAAAGCACATCATCGGGTAGCCCATAGGCCTTAGTAACTTTCCTTAAAAACCGCTTTACGCTATGTGACCCCGTTTGACCTCGGCAGGTCAAAATGTGCAAATAAACGACACTCAATACGTCGCAGCCCGGATTCAGCCCAGATTCGGGTCACATATCGAAAAGCGGTTTTTAAGAAAAGTTACTACGGCCTATGGGCTGCCCGATGATGTGCTTTGATTTGGAATTCGGTCAATCCATCTACTCGAAAACTGCTGTGCAAGTGTATTTTCGACATAGCCCACAAATGACCTTAGGTCATCGCATGACCTTGAGAGGTCGAATGAGTGATGGGGAAGTAAGATTAGATGCTGGCGAGTCGATTGGTGCCATTTTTAGCGCTCTAGCTCTACTGGGTGGGCCACAATCTGCTGTGCAAATTTGGGCCACGTGACCTTTGCTGACCTCTGTAGGTCAAACGGCTGGGAGTGCCACCGAATGACTTTAACTGTGGTTTGGGCATGTCATGGCCTACATTGTGTGCGAGTTTCAGCTTGATCGGAGGTGTCCCGAATCTGAGCTGAATCCGGGCTGCGACATATTGAGTGTCGTTTATTTGCACATTTTGACCGGCCAAGGTCAAACGGGGTCACATATCGAAAAGCTGTTTTTTAGGAAAGCTACTACGGCCTATGGGCTACCCGATGATGTGCTTTGATTTGGAATTCGATCAATCCATCTACTCGAAAACTGCTGTGCAAGTGTATTTTCGACATAGCCCACAAATGACCTTAGGTCATCGCATGACTCTGAGAGGTCAAATGAGTGTTGGGAAAGTAAGATTAGATGCTGGCTAGTCGATTGGTGCCATTTTTAGCGCTCTAGCTCTACTGGGTGGGCCACAATCTGCTGTGCAATTTTGGGCCACGTGACCTTTGCTGACCTCTGTAGGTCAAACGACTAGGAGTGCCACCGAATGGCTTGGACTGTTAATTGGGCATGTCATGGCCTACATTGTGTGCGAGTTTCAGCTTGATCGGAGGTGTCCCGAATCTGGGCTGAATCCGGGCTGCTACGTATTGAGTGTCGTTTATTTGCACATTTTGACCTGCCGAGGTCAAAGGGGGCACATATCGAAAAGCGGTTTTAAAGGAAAGCTACTACGGCCTATGGGCTACCCGATAATGTGCTTTGATTTGGAATTCGGTCAATCCATCTACTCGAAAACTGCTGTGCAAGTGTATTTTCGACATAGCCCACAAATGACCTTATGTCATCGCAAGTGAGTATGGGAAAGTAAGATTAGATGTTGGCGAGTCGATTGGGGCCATTTTTAGCGCTTTATCTCCACTGGGTGGGCCACAATCTGCTGTGCAAATTTGGGCCACGTGACCTTTGCTGACCTCTGTAGGTCAAACGGCTGGGAGTGCCACCGAATGGCTTGGACTGTGGATTGGGCATGTCATGGCCTACATTGTGTGCGAGTTTCAGCTTGATCGGAGGTGTCCCGAATCTGGGCTGAATCCGGGCTGCGACGTATTGAGTGTCGTTTATTTGCACATTTTGACCTGCCGAGGTCAAACGGGGTCACATAGCGAAAAGCGGTTTTTAAGGAAAGTTACTACGGCCTATGGGCTACCCGATGATGTGCTTTGATTTGGAATTCGGTCAATCCATCTACTACTCGAAAACTGCTGTGCAAGTGTATTTTCGACATAGCCCACAAATGACCTTTGGTCATCGCATGACCTTGAGAGGTCAAATGAGTGTTGGGAAAGTAAGATTAGATGCTGGCGAGTCGATTGGGGCCATTTTTAGCGCTCTAGCTCTACTGGGTGGGCCACAATCTGCTGTGCAAATTTGGGCCACGTGACCTTTGCTGACCTCTGTAGGTCAAACGGCTGGGAGTGCCACCGAATGACTTAAACTGTGGATTGGGCATGTCATGGCCTACATTGTGTGCAAGTTTCAGCTTGATCGGAGGTGTCCCGAATCTGAGCTGAATCCGGGCTGCGACATATTGAGTGTCGTTTATTTGCACATTTTGACCGGCCGAGGTCAAACGGGGTCACATATCGAAAAGCGGTTTTTAAGGAAAGCTACTACCGCCTATGGGCTACCCGATGATGTGCTTTGATTTGGAATTCGGTCAATCCATCTACTCGAAAACTGCTGTGCAAGTGTATTTTCGACATAGCCCACAAATGACCTTAGGTCATCGCATGACTCTGAGAGGTCAAATGAGTATTGGGAAGGAAGATTAGATGCTGGCGAGTCGATTGGGGCCATTTTTAGCGCTCTAGCTCTACTGGGTGGGCCACAATCTGCTGTGCAATTTTGGGCCACGTGACCTTTGCTGACCTCTGTAGGTCAAACGACTGGGAGTGCCACCAAATGGCTTGGACTGTGGATTAGGAATGTCATGGCCTACATTGTGTGCGAGTTTCAGCTTGATCGGAGGTGTCCCGAATCTGGGCTGAATCCGGGCTGCTACGTATTGAGTGTCGTTTATTTGCACATTTGGACCTGCCGAGGTCAAACGGGGTCACATATCGAAAAGCGGTTTTAAAGGAAAGCTACTACGGCCTATGGGCTACCCGATAATATGCTTTGATTTGGAATTCGGTCAATCCATCTACTCGAAAACTGTTGTGCAAGTGTATTTTCGACATAGCCCACAAATGACCTTATGTCATCGCATGACCTTGAGAGGTCAAATGAGTGTTGGGAAAGTAAGATTAGATGCTGGCGAGTCGATTGGGGCCATTTTTAGCGCTTTATCTCTACTGGGTGGGCCACAATCTGCTGTGCAAATTTGGGCCACGTGACCTTTGCTGACCTCTGTAGGTCAAACGGCTGGGAGTGCCACCGAATGGCTTGGACTGTG